GAGAGAGAGAGAGAGAGAGAGAGAGAGAGAGAGAGAGAGAGAGAGAGGAGAGGAGAGAAAAGCAAAGAGGGACTCCAGAGTACAAAATTCAGTCTCTCCACTAGGGCTGGAGTAAAAGGCATCTTTGAGAGTTCTTCCTCCCCAAACTTAGGGCAAGTCAGTCTGAACAAAGACAAGGCCCATGACTTGATGAACCTGTCCTAGTCAGTGTTGTGTGGTCCAATAGAAGAGGAGTCCTATTGGTGGAGACAGAGTGAGGCCTTTGTTTTAAACTACCAGGCTTTTGTCTCAGGAAAGAAGGGTGAGAGAAAAGCTCCCATCTTTAGAACTTAGTAGTGGCCCATCTCCCTGCCTGTCTGCCTATCAAGGATTCACCTAACTCCTAGTTCCTCAGGTTGTTGCTCTGGTGTTCTCTTACACCCTTTGTTGATTATGAAAGCTCATTCATTTGCTCTTGGGTCAACCATCGCTACAAACAAACCTCACAGAGTTGAAAGAAAAGACCCTTCTTCTGCCTTTCTCCCACTGAAAGTCTGTTATAGGTAGGAGTGGTTTCCCTTGTTCTGGGTTTGGGAATGGCAGCCCGCAGCAGACTACCTGAATTATTAATCTCATCTGCATACGCTATCAAATCTTACTTTCAAGTCACTTAAGAGCTGGCCCAACTTTATAGGCTTGGTTTTCCGTTTGACACACAGTATGCACTTAATAATACGACTGAGTGAATGAATCAATGAATGATAGATTTGTGTAGTTTTGCCTAGGAACTCCAACTGCTTGAGCTACAACTTCACTTCACAGTCTGAACACACACCTTAACAGGCTTCCTCAGTTGAATCAAAGATCATTTCATGCTTTCCACTTAAACTGTTCTCTACAAATAGAATGTCTTAGAACAGGAGAACATAATATATACTTTATTATCCACTTAATGGCCATAAAGTGAAGGTAGGAAACAGGCTGGAAAGGGGTGTACGTCCATGAATGTTTTTCCCCCATTAGGCAATTCAAATCAAGGTATGAGAAGAATTGCACCAGGCTGTGCAGCTATAAAAGCCAGCCAATGGTCTTAAAACAAAAGACCATGACAAGACCCAGGGCAGAGAGATTCTCAGGGTGCTGTGTATCTATCTGTTCAAGCCATGGAAGGGTCTTGAATAGAATATGACGCCTGTGGCTAATTCAGCACTTTTCTTTAGTAGTTACAGTCTTTTGCTGAAAATTTGATCTTTTGGGAGTGGGGTGGGGAGATAATAGGGTCTTACAGTATAGCTCAGGCTACCCTTAGACCTACCATATGCTGGAATTGTGATAAGCACCACACCAAGATATTTACAATTGAACATTCTTTATCTCATATCAAATTTTGAGGGCTGCTGCAATTTATGCTTTAGTGGTTATCTGCCATCTGCCTCCGTTCAATACTTTATTGTTGTTGTTTATGGACTGAATTACTGACCTTTATATGCAAATTAGTGCAATGGACTCTTCCATAACAATATAATGAGATTCATAGGTTTGCTAATTAGTAGATTCTACTACCTTTGACAAACTATTATAGAAATCAACTTTTATTTAAACAACACTGACTTAAAAAGCTGCTCTGGTTCCCAAGTGAAAACTAAGCATGCTGGTATTGAAATCAGACATTAATAAGTTGATGACTGACACATCCAAAACAAACAATAAGGTATAAAATGAAGAAGGAAGAAGAAGGAGAAGGAGAAGGAGGAGGAGAAGGAGGAGGAGAAGAGGACGAGGAGGAGGAAGAGGAGGAGGAGGAAGAGGAGGAGGAGGAGGAGGAGGAGGAGGAAAAGAAGAGAAAACAAAAAGAAGAAGAGAAAAAGAAAAGAAGAAGAAAAGGAGAAAGAAGAGCAATGGGGAACTGTACTGGCTTGTTTTGTGTGTCAACTTGATAAAAGCTAGAGTTATCACAAAGAAAGGAGCCTCCATTGAGGAAATGCCTCCATGAGATCCAACTGTAAGTCATTTTCTCAATTACTTTCCAAGGGGGGGCTAGCCCATTGTGGGTGGTGCCATCCCTGGGCTGATGGTCCTTGGTTCTATAAGAAAGCAAGCTGACCAAGCCAGGGGAAGCAATCCATTAAGCAGCACCCCTCCATGGCCTCTGCACCAGCTCCTGCCTCCAGGTTTCTGTCCTGTATGAGTTCCAGTCCTGGCTTCCTTTGGTGATGAACAGCAATTTTGAAGGGTAGGCTAAATAAACCCTTTCTTCCACAACTTGATTCTTGGTCATGATGTTTTGTGCAGGAATAGAAACCCTGACTAAGACAGAGGTTGAGGAAGAAACAGCAGCAATGTCACAGGGGTATTGTCCCCATAGAACAGGCCACATGACAATCAGGAGGCTGGAATTATTTCCTGCCTAGACTCAAACAGACTTTTCTGCCCTAGCAATGTTCCTCTTGAATTCCCCCCTGATTAAAATGATTAAAACCCAAGCAGCCAAAATAAAGCCTGTGAGCCCCACTCTGTGCTAAGCATTGCCCTTCCTCATATGGGATCCATTAAGGCAGACATCTGATGTCTGCGGTTAAGCTGAGAATTCCCCACAGCCCGTAATGGTGACCGATGCTGAGCAAAAGCCAAATTTCTCCCCACAGAACACTCTTAGGTTTTTGTCAACACCCTTAGAGCAAAATAAAATCTACTCTGAGCCAGATGAGGCCCATTCACACCTCCCCTGGGGTTATAAAGAGAGGACAGCTCCTGCTGATGCAACAATGCGCCAACACCTGGAGCCGCCTGTGTGCTTCATAGCCGATGGAAGCTGCCTGCAGCTGTTATCATAAAAAAATTGTTTTAATGAGTAGCCTCAGAACAATCTCTCCATACTACCTTCTGGTAAAGACTCCAAACACTACCATTATGAATGTATGCATTTTCCATAGTAGGAATTCACTTAATGCAATGACCAAGATGTTTATAAGTTACAGAGTATTTATTTAATGAATATTTGTAAAGATCCTGTGCCTATCGGGTGCTTGGCCCTGGAGAATCTAAAGATAAGGATACCTGACCTCAAGTAGCACCCAGCCTATGAGCTGAACTAATCATGAGTCCCAGGAGATGGAATCCCACTGCTGTATTGAACAAAGCATTCTGGGGAATACCATAAGATATAGTTACTTGGAAAAGAAGAAAAACAAATGACATTTAAATTGTACATTACCAGATGAGAAGGAATGTTCAGCAAAAGGGAATTAGGGAAAAGAATTGTTGTAGGTATTCATTAAAAACAACAAATACACGAGGGATATAAGAATATAATACATTCCAGGAATAGTGAGTTGAGATGATGCTTGAGCACAAAGTTTAGAAAGTAGAGAAAAAATAGGTTGGTTTCACTTTGCATGTGACCTTGCGAATCATATTAGGAGCATTGCCCTGGGATTTCTGGGAAGCCAACATTTTTTTAAGTGCTCATACTAAGAACATTGACTTGGGAATTCTAGGAAGCCAACATATTTTTAAGTACTGACATGATCTGTCTATGCCTTAGAAAGAGTAGCATATTGCCAGCATAGAGTATTACTTTAATGGAGGCAATTTTGAAGGCACTGAAATAACTCAAGTAAGTAATAACAAGACCCCCTAACTGAGGCAATGTTACTGGTAACTAAGAAGAAAGGACAATAGAATTGTTTAGAAAAAAATGTGGTTTAGTAGACATTGGTTTGCAGATAATTCTAGGATGCATCTGGAAAGGAAAGACTTAAGAAAACCTCAACAGGATTCTAGAGAAACTCTGAATTTGGAGAATAACAAAGAATGATACAGGTTTGAGAAACATTCCAATGAGAAATGACTAACAATAAGAAAATGTTATCCAAGAGTGGTGTTTCTCTATCTGCGGTCCCCCCTATGGTGTACCATCAGCATCACATAAAACTTATCAGAAATGCAAACCTGAAATAGGGACTCTGCCTCCGATGAACTAACTCACAAACCAGTGCCCAAAACCAGGTGATCTGTAAATAGTTTTTCAGCTCATTCTAATGGGGGCTAAAAGCTGGGAACCATTTTCCTAGTGCTTAAAAGATATGGAAGTGTAAAAAGCAAGTGAACTACCAAGAAGTTAGGAGGCCAGATTCATTTGAGGAGTAGTTGTTTTGATTTTTGACTTCTGGAGGTTGAACCCAGAGCCTTGCACATCCCAGGAAAGCACTTTACCACTCAGTATGCCTTTGACCATGGTTAAACTTTAAAAAAAGACAACCCCAGATTTAGTTATTTTCTTTGCATCTGATTAGCTATGCTTTGTGATACTCTCCGATAAATGACTTAAAATCTTTTTGTTTCTTGTGTCCTAAGTGAGGGTGATATACTGTTGCCAGAACCCTCACTAGAAATGCTTCTATTTTCAATAGATGGTGATTAGCATAGAGACCTATAACTGGTCAAGATGCAGAGAATGAGAGATTATGGGATGCTCAACCCCAATTGAGACATCTCCATCATACCCCTCACCCCAAAGCTCAGCAATCACTACAGAAGAGGAAGCAGAAGACAATGAAGAGTCTAAGAGCCAAAGACAATGGACGACTACAAAGAACCTGTATCTTATGAAGACAGTAGGGCAGCTGCACATATGAACTCACAGCAGTGAAGACAGCATGCAGAAGGCCTGTGCGAGCTCAAGGCAGACCAAATCTCAGCATGAAATGGGGAGAGGGTAGACATGAAGTCCCCTAGCAAAGGAACTTTTTGAAATTGATAGCTTCTAGGAGAGGAAGAGTCAGTTTTTCGTTAAGTAGCCCCTGGAAAATTGACCACACTCCAGTGAAAGGCCACATACATATCCAAGAATATACAATCATCACAAATTGGACTTAAAAGATTAAAGAAAAAAACAGGATGCAGAATTGGGTGGGTAGAGAAGGAGAAAGTTGATATGAGAGGAGTTTGGGAAGGAAGTAAATATGATCAAAACACATTATATAAAATTCTCAAAGAATTAAGAAAAAGGATAATTTTTAAAGATAAAAAGAAAAAAGCCTGCTTAGTGATGTAAGAGGATTTGAAAGGGGATATGTGACCATCTGAGGACACTGAAACAGTGGTAAGGGTTAACACAGAGTTAAGCATGTATGTGACGGTGTACTAAATAAGCCACCATCTCCAGCAATGGGGATAAACAAAAATAATGAATGACTGATGTGAGAACACCCAACGATGCCCACAACAACCAGCAAAAGCTACACAGTTCAGAAACTCTCCTGAATCAGAATTAAATAGCTCTCCAGTCAGACTTCTGGGTTTGACTCTCCACTGTGTCACCAGCTTTTGGACTCAGGTAAGTCACTGCACTTTTCTGTATCTTGGTTTGATTACCTACAAAACAGCCATAAAAATAATAGTGTGTACTGCAATTACTTCAGATAGAGAATTCAGAATATTAGGCACATAATAAGCTCTTGTTGAATTTTATTCACAGATCACTATACTTTTTAGGCTGTTAAGGATCATGAGGGTTCATAAATTTACAAAAATGTAGCACATAGCCAATAGTCAGATTATCCATAAGAAGCATCAGCATGACTACAGAAGCATCAAAAGATCAACAATAATTGCAGCTAGCCAACATACCTATGACAGACATCCTTTTCCGGATGTTGTTGAAATCCAAAAAGGCAAGTAACTGATAAGTAACCGGTGTTCCAAGTTCTTCTATTGTAATTGTCTCTGGGGTTCGAGACTTAAAAATGAACCCAAAATTTCTAGCAGCGGTAACTAGAGCTCCTTCATCAGGTGATTGGACTTGGTAAACCAGTTGTCCTAAAAGGGAAAGAGACAAACACATTGTGTGCTGAGGGTAATAATTCACATTCATACTCCAAATGCTAATCTCAATGGATTCTTTAATAACTAACTCCGGCATCAACTCTGAAGACTTTCCTATTGGACTCACTGTCCAACTGTGAGTCTGTTTCTCCACTGCAATAAAAAATTTTGGGCTCGTAGACCATGGGTCTTCACTTTCAGTGACTACAGGTTCTAACGAAAACACCATAATAGGATCCTCATATGACTCCCATATGATGCTCAAGGTAAGCCTTTAGAAGTAATGATTACTTAAATTCTTATTTTGATTTTTATACTGATGGGTCCTATGGCCAAAAGAGGTGATATCATCATTAAAAACATCAACCAACAAGTAGTGGAGAAGCACACAATCTGACCTTCCCTTTGCTAAGTTACTAACGATCATTTTATGAGGCTGAATATATAAAACTACATCAAGATATGAAAGATCAATCAAGATATTAAGGACATGTTGCTTAATAGTGTGTGTGCTGGAGTGGAGCTGAGAGAAGAAAGAAAGAATGAAACATGAAGAAAGACTTAAAAAACAGCTTTAAAAATAAAAATAATCCAACTTACATAAAATTATATAGTGTTTGAAAAATAAATCAGAAGATGTAGGCACTGATCAATATTTACTGTTTATAGTGTTCAAAGATAAATTGTTATGCAATTGGTTTTCCTATTAGTGGGTAGACTTGAGTATACTATGAATTCCTTGTGAAAAAAAAAAAACCTTACTTCCCTGCATATATTCTCGAGTATACTTTATAAGCAAGTGGAAGAGTGAATCCGGTAAGAGGCAAAGGCAGTAAGATTTCCATGAGTTTGAGGTCAGCCTGAGCTATATAGTGAACACCACCCTAGTCAGGAGTGGATAGCAAGACTCTGTCTCAAACAATGAAAAAAGAAAAAGGAGCAAAGATAACATAGTTACTTCAGAGTCTCTCCTGGTTGTACCAGCAATAGGGAAGCTATGAACTTACCACTAGTAGGTAGAAATAAATAAGATAGATAGATAGATAGATAGATAGATAGATAGATAGATAGATAGATAGAAATGCATGCTAAGGAAAATAAAGCAGATACATATGAGTGAATCACGCAGACACTGACCACAGTTATAAACATAGCACCAGTGAGGTTTTCAAGGAATGAAAGGCTTGGTGAGAATGTTGCATATGGGCAGGGCAGCATTGATAACTATCAAAGGATCTTTGTTTTACTCAAAAGAAGCCTTAGGCTTTCATGAGCTTATTATGTTAAGGTCCCAATGTTAACTGCTAACATAATAAAGGTTCATTGTTTTCAAAGTAGCAGGAATAGAAAGGACTAAACCTATGGAAAGACAAAAAAGAAAAAAGAGTCTAAGAAAGGAAAGGTAGGACAAAGAGAAGACAAAGTAGGATGGTTGAAAAGGACTCCAAATGTTATCAACAGCAGGGCTTTAAGTATTTAAAACTAAGTGTAGTGACAACAAAGGAAAACAGATCAAATGTTCTCTTTGTCCTTAGCTTTATCTGTGCTGATTTTTTAAATGTTAAAATTATATTACTTAAACTTCTGTTCCTTTGTTTCTTTGTTTATTTAGTGACAGACTGCTATTCTGTAATCTTTGGGCCTCAGCCCAAATATTTACATCTATCATTTACAATAGATGCAAATAGTCAAAGAACAAGCAAGGCAATAAAGTTTCATGAACACTCCCGTGATCACTGTTTCTAAGGGCTTATCTATTTGCATCTATTGTATTGCTAGTTCCTCAACCTAGAACTGACCTTAACACTTGCATGTAATTAAAATGGTATAAAAGCAAAAAGGAGGAGGGGGGATGGGATGGGGGTTTCTAGGGAGGGGAAATGAGGAAAAGGGATGGTATCTAAAATGTAAATAAATAAAATATCCAATAAAAAACAAAAATATAAAAAATATCATTTACAAGAGATGTAGCCATAATGTAAGAGAAGAGATAAATGAAAGCTAACAAAAGCTAAGTGCACAAACACCTAGGAAATAGAAACAATCACAGTAAACTCTAAGACAAAAAATGACGACTGGAGAAAAGTGAGGTCAAGGGTTACTGATACAGGCTGTGGTCTAACGAAGACAGAAGTCTGAACTATTATCAAACATAACATTCTAAAGCAAGCTTTGGTAGAACTACAAATATCAACATACAAGTGTGCTGTTCTATTAAGCGTTCTTGGCATATTTTAATTAGCTGAGAAATCAAGTTGTCGAAGTAAATCTATTTAAGAAAACACTTAGAAGGCTGAGGCCCAAAGATTGCCTGGACGATAGAACAGCAGTCTGTCACTAAATAAACAAAGAAACAAAAGACAGAAGTTTGAGTACTATAATTTAAAAATCATTGAATGCAATTATTGAATGTATATGTTTAGAATATAGTACCCCCAAAATATAGAATATACACTCATTTCTAGCATTTATTAAATGTTTATGAAAATTAAACATATACCAAGCTATTATCAAACTTCTACAAATTTTAAAATTGGTAAAATAAGGCAATAAAAGAGTTTTAAAATTTTGCAACACATAGGGGTTGATGTCAAAAGTATCCCCTCTCCAGGAAAAAGACATCGGGACGGGTATGGCCCTCATGCCTCACTGGACAACGACAGGGGGACCAGAGCCATTACAAGGTCCCCTTCAAATACTGGAGGTCAGGCCTCTATCCCCGCCTTTGCAAGTTTAGAATTGCCACAGCCCTTCTATACTTAGAGAAGGGAGGAGATGTCAGGGGCAGCTCTGCTTACACACTGAAGGCCTAAAATCAGCCATAGGCCTAAAATCAGCAGTGGGCCTGTCATACATGTATACTAACACCAAGTCTTGGGTCTCAGTGGAAAAACATTGAAACAGATGGCTATAAGCTAATGTCAACGGGCAGCTTTTGTGGAAATTTATAAGCCTGAGTGGTCATGGACCTTGTAAATAGGTAGCCTTGGCAGATAATACCAGCTTAGATGGGGACAAGCGAGTCATAGGCAGAGTCACGGTGACTTGTCCCCTGAACCTTCACCCAGCCGATTCCCGGTTCTGAAAATATCTGTATTCCCCCTGAGCACCCACACTCCAATGTCATTCACCTCCCCACTTCCTGCCTTTCTGTGTTTATACCCCTGTGTGAATTAATTATGATTTGAGAAAAAAAATTAAAAAAAAAAGAAAAAAAAAGAAAATTTTGCAACATATATTATTGTCATTTACTTAAAAAGTAAAAAAAAAAAAAAGTGTTTGTATTTGCCTCTCTCTTATTCTGAAACTTTACTCCGGTACAGACCGAAACCACAGTGTCTCCAAGTAGCTTTCCCATGAGCCAAATGCCACACACTTGCAGCAATACCACTGTGAACTGAATTTTAAATATTAAAACTTTTAGTGTTGGATTTGTACTCTCGTCTTCTCTGTAAGTGACATTTCTACAGAAGAGTTTAGTTTGGGATATTCTTTAGCATGTCGGGAGTCTCTTGAGCCTGGGCAGCATATCCCACAATGAAAGCTTTGAAATGAAACCAAGTTCACATTTCCTCAAATCAGAACCCAACAGTGGAATTTAGTGTCTTGAGACAAGGGTTAGAAACAATTGAAATCATCCACATATCTAACTCCTTTCTCTCGAGAAACCCTTTTTAGTGGTAAGAGGCATTAGCCAGCAGTAAGAACGGCTGAAATGTAAGAGCAGCCGCAGGCAATGTTGGGTGGGAGTGCAGGCAGGTGGCTGCTCTCACTCATGCACAGCGGGGATATAAAATGATACCTGAATGTTTTTAAAGCAGTTGAACAGTTTCTTAGGAGTTTAAACATATCCTTCCTTCTATGATGAGCTGGCGATTTCCACTCTTAAGTGTTTAGTTGTCCTTCTCCCAATGTTTTTAAACAAATAATTTTGAAAAGACATAAAAAGTCTTTGTGACAACAAAAAGCCAGAACAACCTAACATTATTAACAGAAAACTAGAAATGGGTGTGGTGTGTCCCTACAGAGGAATGCTACTTAATAATAAAAAAATCAAAATAAACTAGCAACTGAGATACCAGCATGACATGACACAGAATATATACTGGACAATTCTGCTTTGATGGAGGACAAGAAGACAAACTCCTCTTTAGTGATGGAAGCCTTAGCAGTGATTGGGTGGGCTACAGTTTACAGAAAACTCTCTCTATA